CAGGCTGAGGTGCATTGTTGAAACCTTGGCTGCCAAAATTTGATCCTCCATTGCCTTGGTTCCTTCCTGTGAAGTTCATGTCAAATCTATAGTAGCATTTGTCAGCCGTGTGGTTGTTATAGCCACATATCTGACACCTATATCTTCCTCCACCACCAGATCTATTGCCTCTTCCTCTATATCCTCCATTTCTGCCTTGATTTCTTCCTCTAGCAGATTGAAAACCGGGTGAAAACCTGCCTCTGCCAAAACCACTGCTGCCCCTTCCTCTTGTGTTCACTTGAGAAGCTAGATTCGCAGCAAGTTGTTGAACTTTCTCCTACTCCAATTGTGCTGTCCATTGACTCCGTCCTGGCCTCAAAACTTTGTATCACAGAATATGCTTCAACCAGAGAGCATTTATCTGTTCTTGAGGTAATGGAAACAACTACTGAGTTATACTCAGCTCCTAGGCCAGCTAAAAGGTGGAGAACTTGATCACTTTCACTGATCTGGTGGCCTGCCATGGCTAACATATCACAGATACTCTTGATCTTGATGAAGTATTCTCTGACCTTCATATTTCCCTTCTTCAAGGTTTGCAGTTCCATTCTCAGCTGCATTTGTTTGGCCTGACTGTGACTAGCAAAGCTGACTTTCAGGCAATCCCAGATCTCTTTGGAAGTGTTGAGGCCAACGGTGGTAATGAGGATGTTCTCAGACAATGAAGAGAGTAACCAAGAAGCTATCATTTGATCTTGCCTTACCCAGTTTGCAAAACTGGGATTTAAAGTCAGATCTGTGGAGTTTGAGCCAGTAATGAACTTTTCTGGTTGGGGATACTCTCCTGTAATGTATCCTTGCAAGCCATATCCTCTAATGGCAGCAAGAGCCTGTTGCTCCCAAATCAAGTAATTTCCATCAGTTAGCTTTACAGATATCAATTGACTTTGCAGCTGGATCAAGGCATCTCCAATACCCGATAATGGTGAGATTGTTCCCATGACTTTAATGACTGGAGTAGAAAGAAGAAAAGAGCTATAAAGATATAAGAGAAAGGGGTAAACAGAGACAGGCTAGCCTGCTCTGATACCATAAAAGCTTGACATGAAAATGGATAAAAGGAAAAGAGACATGACAAAGGATAGGGAAAAGTTTTCTTCTTTCATAAACTCAGATCTACTATTTCATTGGTATATTTTCATGCACAGCGGCTACATCGAGGAGGTGAGCATATATAACATATATGTGAGTGTGTGCATCTACAGGTGTCAAGCATCTAACGGTTCTAAGCTAGAGAATTGATGGAACCCTAATATTTAATGTTGTTTGTCTCATTAAGAGAGACAGCTTGCATGGTGTCCTTGTCATCTGCATGGTCACATCTCCTTTCCACCTTGGACATCATTGACCGAGCCAAATGGTTTGAATAACCTGGTTCCTTAATATAGGTCACCCATCCTCGTTGCCTCTTTCAAATGGGCCAGAACCACCAGCGACGCGGACGCTTCGCGCAACAAACATGCACATTATGGTTAATAGATATGCACTGTACTTTCACAGAACTTGTATAATAAGAGTAGTGATAAACAATGTTCAAAAGTCAAAATAACGATAAGTAGTGCCCAAAATAGTGTTCATGAATTTATAGCATAGTTCTTCCAATATCGCAAATAAAATACCATAAAACTAAGCTCTAAAAGTATATTTTGTTCATGTCATACATTGTTTACTCTATACTACTGAAATATGCACAATGATTATATGTGATATGTATAATATTACATGCGAATATGCACATAATAGCATCACATAATATTTAAAAGGTACAGAAAAATTACCAACATGTCACTTTTACTAAAATTATCAAAATCACTCAAAATGACCAAAATTACCAAAACGGTTTTTAACTAAAAGTTTGACGATTGACCAAATCTAAAACGTTCATTTAATCATACCCAACTCTTATCTATTATTCTTATTTTGTTCAATATTTCCTATCTTCATTTGATCTCACTTCTACACACACATACACACACATGTATGTGTGTGAGTGTGTGGTGTGTGGATCCAATAGGACCCTTACTTAACGTGGGGGTGTGAGGTCCAACCCTAACTAATTTGTGTATAATCAATGACTTATATTAATCAATTGAGATTTATATTAACTATATAATAAAAATAATAATCATTATATTAAAACTAATTATATAATAAAAAATAATGGACCGACGACCATTGACCTGTGTTGGCTACTGACTGACAGTCGACAGTGTTGATCTTTGTTGACCCGTGTTGACCAGCAGCGGAAACTAGAGGTTGCCAAATGGCGATTCCGCGCCAGTTTTAGGTCCGAACTGCCGGTTTAGTGTAGTGTTTTTTAAGTCCCTGAACCAGCCCGAAAATATATGGCGATTCCGGGCCTGTTTATAAACCATCAATTTCGAGTCGGTTTGGTTCACTAAAACAAATTAAAAATAATAAATTTCAAAAAACAAAAGATCGAACCGCCGGTTTCGGTTCCGGTTCAGAATAGGCACGACGATTCAATAAATTAGACATGGCTACCGGGTCAATCGGCCCGCTGACCCGACACGAACCCGGCCCGATCAAACCCGTTGACCGCGGATTCAGGCCCCACTCGGATTGCTAACGGGCCGGTCCAGGACTTTCATTTTGTCGACACCGACCAGGCAGGCCCAGCCGGGTCCGGTCCGGTCCGGCACAGAAAATATCCATTGTTTTTGAATTTTTCTATTTTTTTCCTTTTTTTTTTTAATTTTGGCGGGCCCAACCCTTCGGCCCGCCGGGCCGTCTACAATAAATTACTAATATGTGGCCTACAACTTGCCTCACGGGCCTGGTTCAAAGCCCATTGACCACGGGCCGGTTCATCGGTTAGGCCCATGGTCATGTTTAGCCGAAATAGTGTCAATTTTAAGATGGCCTAATTGTAGGTAAAATCACGACCTTACAACTTTTTGCCGTTTCGAACTTGGGACCTCAAGTTTGTATAATAGCATTGCACCACTACACCAACCCAAGTTGTATGTCAAATTTAATAGTGTTTAATATATATAGATACTACGTATCAACAAATGAAATTAAATTTAAAATATAATGTAAATTATATTAAATTATATTAATAAGATATAAANAAAAAAATATTACTACATTCTATTTTTTTTAAATGTCATTTTGGCTTTATCAACAATTAACCAAATAAATGACGTTTTGGATCTTTTGTACATATTTGTCGATTATTATCCTCATCTAGCTAATAAATACACTACGTCTTTTCATATTCACTCTTCATCTTTTTATCAAAACATCCATCTCTATCCCATTAATGAGAGTTATTATTGACAATTTTTTTTTTTTTAATTACTGGCAACTTCTCAAAAAGACTATTGAAAATAGGAGGGAGTATTTGGTTTCTATTTTTTATTTGATTTCAAATAATATTTTTTTATTTTATTTATTTATTTAAGATTTCTATTTATTTTAATTTATTTTTTTTTTACTTTTCCAATTTTCGACACTTTATTATCTAATATTATATTATTTTCATTTAATATTATATAATTTTTATTATATTTTAATTATTATAAGTTTATATCTTATTAATATATTTTATAAATTATATTGACTTTTAAATTTAATTTGATTCATTCATACGTATTGTCCATATATATTAGGCGTTTCTAAATTGAACATACAACTTGGATTGGTGTGGTGGTTGCAATGCCATATTACAAGGTGGAGGTGCTAAGTTCGAACCCCAGCGTTGTTTAACTTTTTTACCACCATGTCACCATAAATCTTACCGCCACGTCACCATAAATCGCCATGTCATCCACCACTTCAGCAGAATCACCATGTCATCCGCCACGTCTGCAGACAAAGCCCGAAGTACGGCCTTGTGATTCGAATTGCCAAAAAAAGTAGACACGGTTATGTTATGTTTGCTAAATTCCAAAAGTTTGGTTAAAACGGCAAAAAGTTGTAAGGTCGTGATTTTACCGGCAATTAGGCCTTTTAAGATTGCACATTTAGTTCATACATAATGTGTATTTAGTTCATATATAATTGCATACATAATTGATTTAATTGCATATTTTGAGGCTCTCGCCGACCTAATGCATATGTAGTTAATGCATAATTGCATACTTAGTGATATAAATTGCATACTTAGTTTTGAAAATGCTCATTTATTCCACACATAATTACAAATTTAATCATACATAACACATATTTATTTTATACATTAATGCATATTTAGTTTGTAAAATTGTATAATTGAATCTCTTGTTGGTGTCGGTCGTCTGCCAACGATCAACACTATTGCTCAAAGGTCAATGTCGACAATCAACACCGATCAGCTATCAATGCCAATGTTCAATTAATTATTTAAATAATTAATTATTTAAATAAAAAATCAAGTCATTGCCACATATCTCGTCCCTATATAATGACTAAGACTGAGACTCACATCTCTATTTTCAGAATTGTGATTCATTTATCCAACCCATTTATCCAACCCATTTATCAACCCATTTATGAATGTCAATGAAAGAAATAAGAATAACTATTGGCCACAGGATTAATTCAATTACACGGCCAGATTCAACGCGCAGGCGCACTCAGGCCCATTAATGAAAAGGGCAGAACTGTAATTTTACCCCGCACAATAGCGTGTCCTCTGCTGGTGGAACACGCGATTGCCGCATCAACATTAAATTCGAGCTTAGGGTTCTTACGTGAAAAATCCACATTGAGCTCCCAAGCATTCGCACATCGACGTAGTGATTAATCACAAGTCAGATCAATAAAATTCATCACGTATAGAATCCAATCGATCTGAAATCAGGTTTTTAGTTCTTTGTTGCTGCGTTTTTTTTTTATTATTATTTTTCTACCGCAATCGAACATAAGGGTAACCTGAGGATACTGCGATTCATAAAGAGGGGAACTAACGATCTTCGGTTTGATTTAGGTTTTTTGCACAATACTTCTTGTTCATGGAAGCCCCTGTGGAGCTGAGCGAAACGCAAGAAGGTACTGTAAATATGTTATTGTCGATTGATTATGGGACAATTAACGAGCTTACTTTGATATTCACCGGTAATTCATGTTGATGTGTAATCTCCCTGAACATTCATATACTATGTTTTGTACATTTTTTATCAGCATGACATGTATATCATATAGTGCATGTCGTCGTACGTAATTGTGCATGTAATAGCATATAAATGTGCATGGAAGTGCATGTAATTGTGCATCTTATTCGAAATTCTGTTTTCATTTATTTTTATTTATTTATTTATTTATTTTGGGGGTCTTAATTGCAACAGATTCAACACAACTATCATCACATCGTACCCGCCAGCTACTTGTCACGCCAGGCGGCACTAAATATTGGATACCACAATGTGAGGATGCACTTAGGCCATTCAAAGGACAGATTTTTCACGGGCTTGGCGAGGCAGTCATTTTCTACAACACGTATGCTTCTACAGTTGGGTTTGATGTTAGGCACAACACCTTCATTAAAGCGATTGATAAGACGGTTGTTTGGAAATATCTAGTATGTTCGAGAGAGGGCCACAAGCATCATGCAGACGCAATCCAAGCAATGCACTCACGAAGACGCAGGGTATCCAACCGAGTGGGGTGTAACGCCCGGATTGTCCTTCGAGTTAACGGACCAAACAGCTATATTGTTCGATTTTTTGAAGAAAAGCACAGCCATCCGATGACGCCCGGCGAGTGTAGAGCACGACTAAAGATCAATTGGACAATGACGGCCGCACATCAAACATTTGTCCTCAACTGTATAAAGGCCAATATAGGCCCTATCAAGTCGTACAAGTTGTACAAAGAGATTGTAGGAGGATATTCTAATATCGGTGCCACTAATGTGGAGTTCAGGAACTTCAAACGAGAGCTCATGGGCTACATTTTAGGGGCTGATGCTCAGTTGGTTTTTGAGAAATTTTATAAACATCAGGAGAATAGCTCTGCCTTTTATTTTCGCTATGAGCTCGACGAACATGACTGCCTGCATAGGCTTTTTTGGGCTGATACAATATCAAGACGTATTTCGTGGATGTTGTATCATTTGATGTCACGTATCGCACCAACAGGTACATTAATCACGCATATCAATTTCATGTTTATGTTGTTCTTGCGCAACAATGTTATTAATACAACATAATATTTAATAAGTTTTTGCACAGTATATGACGATTATGTGCACTGATACAACATACTGTTGTTGTTTGTAGATACAATATGGTGTTTGCACCATTTACCGGCATAGACAACCACGGAAAGTGTGTATCATTTGCAGCCGCCTTGATAGCGAAGGAGGACGTCAATTCTTACGTATGGGTGTTAGAAAACTTCAAGGATGCAATGATGCACGAGCCCAACTACATAGTCACCGACCAAGACCCATCGTTTGGTATTGCTTTCCCCAAGGTATTCACTAGTAGCAAGCACCGCTTTTGCATGTGGCATATCGTGAATAAGATATGTGACAAAGTTGGACATGCTTTAAATAGCGACACCAACTTCAGAAGGAAGTTCAATGAAATTGTTTGGAATAGAAAAATTGAACCGGCCGAGTTTGAAACTAAATGGGCTGCTATTATGAATGAATATAGCTTAGACACCCATAATTGGTTCAATGATTTGTTTGCCAAGAGAGAGTATTGGATACCGTCATATTTTAGAGATGTCAGGATGAGTGGGCTTATGAGAACTACTTCTAGATCGGAAAACGAGAACAATTGGTTTAGTAATTTTACAAGTAACCAATCCAGCTTAGCCGAGTTTCTGTTGCATTATGATAGTGCGATGGACGCACAACGGAACACGTAAATGAAATTACAAAGTGACACTGAAACTCACGTGGCTGGCCTGAAAACCCAATTGCCGGTTGACAAACATGCTCTGACTGTGTACACCACCACGATATTCTATCGTGTACAAAATGAAATCTGTGACGCATGTTTTAGATGCCATGTCATGCAACGTTCTGAAGCTGATGGTGAGATGACGTTTGTGATCAAAGATGTTGACGGGAAGTCGTTTACGGTAGTGCATGATGTCAGCCTAAAAACGACTCGGTGCTCTTGCACTTTGAAATGCACGGGTGGCTATGTAGGCATGTTTTTGTTGTGTACAAAGACATAAACATGGAGGTTATACCACCTTCTCATGTCATGTCGAGGTGGACGAAACATGTAATTAGCAAACCTATGTTCCAGGTTCCTGACAACATCACAGAACAATGCGCTAAAATAGATGATAAAAAGATTTTGATGAATAAGATTTGGTCAGACCTACACATTTGCATGGGATTGGCTGAGACGCGCATGGACCAATTGGTTGAGTTTTCTAAACTCATTGGGGAGCATAAGCGAAAGCTCATGGCTGAACGAGAGGGAGTTGTGTCAGCTATGACTGAAAGGGAAAAGAGGTTCGAATCTTTTGTTGGGATGTCCGCCCCACAAGATATACACATCCAACCTCCAGCACAATCAAAAAACAAAAGGAGCGGAAAAAGAATGAAGAGTGCCAAGGAGAAGTCGATAGAAACGTCATAGAAAAAAGGAGGCTATGCAAGACGTGTGGTGAGAGGGTGGGACACAATACGCGAACCTGCCCGAAAAAGGCAACAGATACACCATCTGACCAACATTCATGGGTATGTACAAACTCTCGTGTTTACACATATGGTTAATTTATTCGTTTATTATTATTATTATTATTATTATTATTATTATTTTATATATATTTTCCACTTTAAATACATTAGCCATTGTAGGATGGGGTGTAATACATCAGGCTGTTCGGATTCTTTTGATGCAATCAGGTTTATTAAATTAATATTGTGTAACGTAACCGTGTGATTCATATGAGTTATTGGCACACAAACACGATTTAGAACTATACACGCATTGTTGATGTTTGATAATTACAACTTTACATGTGCAGGCACCATCAAAACGCCAAATATGCTCGGATGATTTACTAATTCAGAATGCAAGTGTGAGGATATCAGCTACTTTCAGCTACATCGCTTTATGTATTTGAGATACTTTCATGATCATTACATTATTCATATTCATGTACTGCAGATACACTAATATTTTCATTAAACCAAGTTTAGACCGATGATGTTATTATGCTATGTTTGTTGTGTTTTTTTTTTTATTTTATCTTTGTTATTTTTATTTTTATTTGAGTATCAACACCTGGTGGGCAATATTCAAATGGAATGTGTATGTATTATTGAGTTTTAGGCTTATAGTAATAAAGTGTAATATCTAATTCACAACCATGCACACATATGGTGAGATGATTAGCATTGAAATAATTAAACGGTGACAATATATATGATGAATTCTACTAGTTCATGAAGTAAGGTGAACTAATGGAATGACAAACATGTAGGATTCGCATAACGTTTACATATTGAATAATGGGTGCACAACATTATACATCAAATTGCACAATAGTGTGTTGTACCATGCACATTATGTCGTGTCTTTATGCACCGTAATCTCTTCTAAATAGCTACGACATGGATATATAATTACATTAATAGAAATGATGAAACAAAGAAATCGTAACAACCGACGAAATAATAAATAGTCGACTAAATAAAAAAAATAATAACTCACGTGCACATTAATGCATACAATGTTGCACGATAGATATATAGAAAATGCACATCGTAAAAAACAAAAAAATGTTCATACCGCATAAATGATTGAATATTCAAAAGTTTAGTTGTGCATTAGCCTGTCATCCAAAACACAAAATATTCACAACACAACATGCATGCCCTCAGTCCACGCTGTGTCAAACACATCAGGAACAGCCAGCCCGACTGATATAGAGTATTTTGCCAAATTCCTTTCACCTAGAAACTTTGACATCGACCGTTGCTGCAATAAATGTGGTAGTAGTTATCAGACAATTTATATACAGCGCGTAAAATTGTATAAAACGTTGTTATATTTATATACTAATTACCAACAACTCCGATCGTGGCACAATCGATCTCATAAGAGCTCCGTCTTTGCGAGATCCGGAACTGTCTATGATTATCAGCTTTTGGGATCCCGGAACAACGCATTATAAGCCATGAAATGACTCGGAGTGCACCGGAAATAAAAACTGCAAGAACGATAAAACATGGCAGACATTAATTATCACACTACATAAACGGAACCTTTACTGTATCACATGTGTACATTATATAAAACAATTATATGTAAATTATAACATTACAGAATTACGACACCGAAAAAATCCAACAAATAAACAAAAAATGGGCAATTGAATGTAAGGTAACTCATGTATACAATTAGTATTAAAAAAAGCAACAGGATGATTCGGGAAATGACAACATACCACTTGTATTTCATTCAATGCGTAAATGGACCTCTGTGTAATTTCAGAGTCTAGTGTCTGAGCAAACTTTTTATAGCTTGTGTCTTTTTTCCGTTTTCCATCAAAGAACAACTGCGACCCACAATAGCATCAAATAGTATAAGATCTACTTAAACATATAATATTCATACCACTTACAAATATTAGATAATTCACATAAGATATTGTGTCATACCTCGTAGCACGGGGAAGTTGATCCAAAAAAGCATTTTGGCGCACCACGACTTCTAAGGTTCTCATTGTAGTTTAGTATGAAAGACCATAAGTCTAGTAATTCCTTTGTAATTAGAGTGTCGGGGGTCAGACATGCCACGACTGACTTCTTCACATATAGTTCAATTGGTTCTGTTGACTGAAATGCAATCACCCCCCTGCCCATTTCACAAGATCGTGAATAAAAAAAATATTAAACCATCTTAATACACAAATATAACCAGTTATATTAAAGACTAAACCATGCATACTCATCAGAAGCATCATTCTTCAGCATCCAATTGACAACCATCATCTCAGTCCCGTCCAGCTTTTTTGTCACATCAATCGTCCTCTGCTTAAAAGGTGATTTAATTATACTGGCCGCCTTTATGCGCCTCTTTGGCCTCGGAGACATGTCTACATCGTTACCACGAGATAGTTCACAAGCAGCTTCTGAAAAAAAAAAGAAATTTATATATATATATATATATATAGGGGCTGGTTCAAATAAAAACTAGTCCTAGTGTGAGAACCGTGAGAACCGTTTTTTATGCTATTTTTAATTGTGTATGATGCTATTTTTCATATTAGATGATGCTATTATTTTTACAAGTGCTACCAGAAATTATGTTGCTATTTTTAATAAAATTCATCCTAGTTAAAAATAGCATCAAACACAATCAATCATAGCACTACGCCCCAATAAAAATAGCGGTTCTCACGGTTCTCACATTAAGACTTGGTTCTCATTTGAACCACATCCTATATATATATATATATATATATATATATATATATATATACATACATAAGCAAAAACAAAATGACATAGAACAAAATTTTAATACATTAAATATATTTGAGCACTACGTACATACCGGTAGTTACATGACCTTTGTCGCGCAACCCAATTTCTTCACCAACTGCATGCTCAGACTGACCAACATCTTCATAAACAATGATAAGAATCATATTAATATAACACAAAAAAATTGCTTAGCCAAAAAACGCTATATTGGGTGATGTCTCAACAGTAATTTTATCAAATACCTATTTGCACGTCTATATTGAGTGACTTATCAGCAGTTTGAGGCATCCCATTATGTACAGAACCCACACCAATCCCGCTCGTATGTTGATGACGGGTGTCACCTGCATCATCGTCATCTGACGAGATGCCTAAGCTGAAACTGGGAACGTCAAGCTGCATCCTCTTGAAATGATCACGTCGCTCAACCGCCTTCAGAATCGAGTCTATCGCCGCCAATGTTTCAAGATCGTTCCAGAATGCATCGTCTAGTACCTTGTCACACCCCGCCTTACTAGCTTTGAAAAATCAGAGTAAAATTTTTGTTTTTATTTTCGAAAGAACGTGCGAGCTGGGTTTTCGAAAATACTGACTTATTCCGGGATGTGGCAGATAAAAACTTAAACTGAACTTGAGCTTGCTCACAGACATAATAAAACATGCAACCAAACTGTCCGCTCGCGGAATATGGAATTATACATGCATAGTCTGTACTATCTCGCACTGTCTAAGAAAAACTCGCTGGCGGAAGCATCCGAAATACAACAAACATAAACATACATACATATCCGAAATATTATACATGAGCATAAAACTAGGACATAAAAATGCTGGGAAAATATGCCCAACTCTCATGACCACACTGCGCCACATCTGTGCTCATCCGGCACGCTCGACTCCGTTACCTGAAAAACATAATGGGGGCGTGAGCAAACCACTATGCTCCGCAAAGACCAGTACTGAACAAAACATCATCTATAATAACGTATCATGAAACATAAATATATAAGAGCTGAAACTGTAAACTGATCTCTGATTTCTGTTCTGATCTGTGGTCAAAAGACCCTCGGCCTTGGCCGCTCGTGTGCACACTCCGATGGGGTATAAAGGCCTTGGCCCCCCAAACGGTCATCAGGTGGGTATAAAGGCCTCGGCCACCCAACCCGGAACTAAACTGTCTCAAACATACCTCTGCCATGGTACAGATATTATCTATGATGTGACATCCAGTACATGACCCCCACCTGAAAACTTGAAAATATGATGTGCAAGTGCGGATGCTGGAGTAGCGGTCGGAGGCTCGACTCTCCTTAGGCTACATAAATATTTAAGAAAAATAATGCTAAGTATAATGCTCAGAATATTTAAATTTTATGAAAAAAAATGCTCGGACTTGTCTACGCGATTAAACTGGACTGGACTGGCTCGGAGAAATACTGAAATTTTCAGAACTGGACTCGGATCAAAAATCACAAGTCAAAACTGGCTCGAACCGCCGGTCGAACCGGCCGGTTCGCTGACTGGCCGAGCCGCCGGCTCGGTTGAACCGGGCGGTCGGGCTTGGCTCGGCTAGACCGGGCTCGGTCCCGCGCCGGGCCAGCTGGTGGGAAGGTGACCCTTTTCCGGCCACTTAACTTATACTAAGCCATGTCTACTCATGAAGCTCAATTAAATCAAGATTTTACATTTATCTAAAATTTAAACCGAACCTAATTGAGCTCTTAACCTCATGAATTTTTAAAATTCACACAAGTCTCCAAAAATCACGAAACTTGGCAGTTTAATATTAGACATAGACATGTACTTGCTGTCAAAATTTCATGTCAATAGGACTTCATTTGCTTATTAAACTCATGACTTAAGCATCACGTGAAATTCACTTATATACATGCGCATATTGCAACAATTTTGTAAAATCACATGATCAACATTTTAAGCTCAAACTCGGTCACAATGTTCACCACTCATTAGAGGATTTTACATAAAAGTTTCGCATTCATAACTTGCATGTGGACAGAGTACTCTTGCACATAAAATTAGTTCGACACGCATGCGATCTAAAAATTATAACTCCTTCATTTCTTATGATAAAATCATGAACTTCGGTATGGAGGCTCTCAACTCATATGTAAACACGTCCATAAAATTTCATAATTTTATCCTGAGTATAACTCGAGTTCTACACGTTTGAAGTCGCAACTGAAATTCACGCATGTAAAGTTCATCCTGCATGTTTAACTTTAAAAATCAAGAACTCGAGTTATACTAAGCCAATTGACCTAATTCTTGATCCTATGAAGTTCTATCTTCCACAAGAAATAACCATAAAATTCGCACATTCCCAGAGTTTTCAGAGCATAGGTAAAAACGTACGAAAACATAGCATATAGAACATGCAAGAAAAACTGGGAGTACTTAACATTAAGCATGCATGAAACTACTTCAAAGCTGAACATATAGGGCATAAAAATACATCATTCTCATCCACATCTTATATATAACCGTACTAAAAAGGAATTAGCAAACCAACCTCTTAAAGTATCTCAAAAACTGAAAAGAAAAAGGGTGTGCTCGGTTCTCGTTCGGTTCTTGTTGTTGCAGCTTTGTGGCTTGTTCTCTTCGATTTTTCTTGAGTTTAAAGCCTTAAAACTCTTCTATGGTGAGTGTAGGATGAGGTAAGAAGGATATTATGCTGAGGGTATGAAGGTTTCATGCATATAACTCAGAAATGAGTACAAGTATGCACTCGGGATTTTTGAGTTTGCTCTTGGTCTCTTGATTTTGCTCTTGGTTTTGATAGAAAACTTGATGAACTATGCTTGAATCTTATTAAGTGAATGTTGAGGCATCAAATGAGGCTTCATGTGGCTGAAACAAAGGCTTAAATAGGGGTAAGGGGCGGAGCTATTTAGGATAGAAAGTGGAGAACAATTTGTGGGAGACAATGTGGGCAACTCCCATTCCCAACACTTGATCATTTGCATGCTTGAGTGAAAGTGGTGCACTAGGGTCATGTGGTGCACGAAATTTTGGACTGAAAAGGGGCTGCTTTGGTCTGGACATGCACTTCAAAAGGTTAGGGGACAAGCTCTTACTCACTCAATAAACAATGCCCATGCTTGATTAGGCTTAGAATAGTACTAATAAGGTTTTGACTTTGGTTAATCTTTCTTATGCTGAAATTTGGCTTAAAAATGCTGCCATGGACTTTAATCCACTCGCACCACTTAGTACTCAAGTGGTAGGATGGGCTAAATGAGCCTTGGCTCGGCTAGGGCTCGATTTTTAAAAATGATCAATATTTATACTTCGATATTTTTATACACTTAGAAAAATATTCTAAGTATTAAAATATCAACTCTCAATTATAACTTAGAAAAATATACTCGGAACGACAACTAGGGTTCGTGTCCGGTAATTTCTCGAATTGACTTGCTATTATTTAATAACCCAAATTAATGGATTAATATTAACTTATACTTGATATAGAATTATTCTAATGAATTATCTAGCATAATTGAGCATTTAGCATATAAAACTCGGAATTTCTGAAAAATACGGATTTCACTTATAGTCGAGCAGTGAAACCGTTCTTAATATTATTTCTGATTTGGGGCGTTACAACCTATCCTCCTTAAAATATTTCCGTCCTCGGAAATACAAAACTAAGGTGCTAGACCAGAACTCCTACTACAGAACTAGATAAAACATAAAAATAAAAAGTACATATATATACATCTGAAAACTCTCAAAACTCGAAATCTGGATAACGAGCTCTGATCTCGGCCTCTCTCTCCCAAGTGGCCTCCGACTCGTCGTGGCGGCTCCAGCAAACTTTGACGAGCTCTATATCTCTGTTCCTCAGCCGACGGACCTTTCGGTCCAGAACTGCTACCGGCCGCTCATCATACGTCAGGTTCTGCCCGACCTCTAGCCCGTCAAAGTTCACTACGTGGCTCGGGTCGTACACGTACTTTCTCAACATCGACACATGGAAGACGTTGTGTACACCCGAGAGCTCTGGGGGTAATGCCAGACGTAGACGGTGGCACCAACTCGCTCGAGAATCTCAAAGGGCCCTATAAATCGGGGCTGCAGCTTCCCCCTCTTCCCGAATCGGACAACGCCCTTCATCGGCGTGACCTTCAGGAACACTTTATCTCCCTTCTCGAACTCAAGCTCCCTTCTACGCTTATTAGCGTAGGCCTTCTGTCTACTCTGAGCCTCTCTCAATCTCTCTCGGATCTCGGCGACCTTCTGCACTGTGTCCTCGATCAGCTTGGGACCGAGAACCTGCTTCTCGCCGACCTCATCCCAATAAAGGGGTGAGCGGCACTTGCGACCGTATAAAGCTTCGAACGGCGCCATCTTGATCGACGAGTGGTAACTGTTGTTATAGGCAAACTCCACAGTGGGTATCAACTGCTCCCACGAACCACCATGCTCAAGGACACAAGCTCGGAGCATGTCCTCAAGCGTCTGGATGGTCCGTTCCGACTGACCGTCGGTCTGTGGATGATAGGCGGAGCTAAACTTCAACTTCGTCCCCATGGACTCGTTCAGACGCTCCCAAAAATGTCCGATAAACCGGGGATCTCTATCTGATATAATCTCGGCTGGAACACCGTGGAGTCGAATGATTCCCTGGAGATACACATCGGCTAGCTGCTCCATGGACATGTCCATCCTGACAGGCATGAAATGGGCCGACTTCGTCAGTCGATCCACAACTACCCATACTGCGTCATGATGCTTGGCCGACATCGGCAACCCCGTGACAAAGTCCATGGTTAGCTTCTCCCACTTCCACTGCGGGATCTCTAGAGGCTGCAAGAGGCCCGGTGGAACCTTGCGCTCGGCTTTCACCTGCTGGCAAATCAAGCACTTCTCTACAAACTCGGCGACGTCTCTCTCCATCCCCTTCCACTAGAAGGACCCTTTCGGGTCGTGGTACATCTTGGTGCTACCGGGGTGCGCCAAGTAAGGTGCACTATGCGCCTCAGTCAAGATCTCCTTCTTCAAGGCCTCGACATTTGGCACAACGATTCTTCCCTTGTACTCCAAGGCACCATCTGTGCCTCGGTAGAAACCTTCAACTCCTCCGGCATGAATCTTAGCCCCCATCGAGCGAATGAACTCGTCGAATGCTTGATCCCGCCGGATTCTGTCTCCCAACGTGGGCCACATTCTCATCGCTCGAATACCTCCCACAACTGGCAACTTGGGAGGTGATTCGACCACCTCTAGCTGCATTCGGGCGAACTCATGAATCAACTGACGCTGCTGAGTGATCATACAGATCAGCTCGCCCTTTCCCTTCCGGCTGAGGGCGTCAGCAACTACGTTCGCCTTACCCGGATGATAGTTGATGGTACAATCATAATCTTTCACCAGCTCCAACC